GTGCAGAAGCAGCAACATCAAAAAGCAACGATCCATGCCCTTCTTCCTTGTCGAGTTCAGCTTACTCTCCTCGCTCACCAATTGTTCCCTGATCTTCGTAGAGCCATCATTGCGGACCTGAAAGCATTGTGTTGGGTTGTGAGGTGGACCCGGATTGTAATAGTCAAGGATATATAGACCGCAAAATCAATTGAAAATGCGATATTGACGTATGATAAGTCTGTCCGCCCACTCGTGTCGGATGGAGAATATCGACTGCTTCCCGTTTGCGTACAGAGTACATAGCACATATATCTATTCAGTTAGATGAATCAACAAGTATATCAAAGTTATTGCTTTAGATTTCTAATGGTTATGCATGTTTAGAATGCGAATTGCCACTGTTGCGACTCTTGCCATTTGGCACTGTCAGGAGTTAGAGGTTCAAACTCAGCTTCTTCGTTCGACTCATCCTCATAGTTGACTTCATCGGCTGTATCAAGATGATGGAATGAAGCAGCAGCGTCAGTGTTATCAGTTTCAGCACCATTAGTATTGTCAACAGTGTCGTCTCCAAGATTGAAGGTATGATCTGCAGCATAATGACCAGCATGGGATACCGAAGGGAAGTCTCTGTCTTTTTCGATTGCAAGCTGGATGAGCTTGGAAACAATCAGCTGGCGTTCGACTTGCGTCTCATCAGCACCAATCAAGGTACGAGCAGTGATAGCCTCGACAGACTGTGGACCTGGGAGCAAAATGCGGTTGCCTTCTGCAGCTTGATTTGCCGCTCGTTCTAGAAGATGCACAATGGACACGAGCCGTTTTGCATCTTCAAACGAACCCATCTTCATGGTGTACATATTCTTCAAGCCGTTGCTTCCGAATACGTCGGAAGCGCCCTTGAATGTAAGTCTAGGCTCCTTCTCAGAGAGTTCAATTACAAAGTTTTTGACAATGCACAAGTTCAGACCACCTGCTTTGGTGAGTTCATTGTGGTAGGTCAATTGTCCCATTCCTCGACAATCAAATGCACAACCATCGTATTTGTTGATGAAATTGACACAGAGATGTCCTTGTCCGTATCCATTCCAACCGCCTCCTTCGGCATCAGAAGCTCTATAGAGCTTCACATTGAAGAAGTCGTAGAGCTTCGTAGCATCAAACTTCATGCTGAGACTGCTAACAACGAGTGTTTGCTGTTTTGTGGATGATGGTGTTCAGAATATGACCGTTTCCCACCTTCAGTAGTCCCGCGTTTCCTGTTTTGAACAGTTTTCATCAAAACTGGTGACTGTTGTCATCCCGGATCGCGCGGGAGCGTTACATTGTCGTTTTTTTGTATGTCGTACAATAATCCACGTGGAATTCAAAATTCAAAATGCCGGGAACACGAAATTCTTTCGTTCTCGTCATGGGTTTCACCACAACACGCAATTCAAATTCAAAACCTTCCCGCAACAACATCAAAATCAGAGCCGGGAAATCTAAGATGTCATCCAAACGGCAGTGTTGGGTCACACAAAAATACATCCACCGTCAGAATGATGTTCAAATCAGGTGTAATCGGTGCCATTGCAATCGCTCCGCATGTGAAAGTGATTCATTGCGAGGATGGAAATGCCGATATCGTCACACCAGATTCTGGTTCCTCTAATCGTCACATCGTTCTTGAGGACTTCTCCGGCTTGCTTACGATCGATATGATGATGATCCTGGATACAAATGAAGGTATGGCAACCATGGCCACTATTCAGAGACCAGCCTTGGTCGAGAGCGATGACGACAAAGAAGAAGAAGAAGCCGCTGTGGAACAAGGCAAAGACAAGAAAGCTGCTACTCGTACTCGGCCTCCAATTCAATGCAATGGCGCAATCGGCGCCCTTCGTATCATTCCATATGTGAACGTCATTGATCAGGAGGATGGCAAAGCCGAGATCTCCACACCGAGATCGGGTTCTTCTCATGGTCAGATCGTGCTTGAAAACTTCACTGGTGCTCTTACGGTCGAGACGATTGTAGTGATGGACCCACATGATGTACAGACAACGACCATTATTGAGAGGCCAATCTTGGTGGCGAGCGATGACAACGAAGGAGCCACAGCTATGAAGCAAGGCAATAGAGGGAAGAATGGTCGGAAGAAAACTTCCTCTGGTACTCCTATTGATTCAAGTGGCGCTGCAGATAGCGTCAAGAAGCCCCCTGCTTTACCAACCTTGGAGGAAAGCGAAGACGAAGTGTCCATTGTGATGGGCAATGTCGACAGTGAACCTGCCAATCCAGACGGCAACGACATGTCCAACAGTGAAATTGAGGATGATGAAGAGGAAGCGACAAATTATGATACGATGAAGCGTCCCGAACTCTGGGCGGTTTACAAAGCCCGACTTGGCAGACAGCCCCAAAAACTCAAGATGCGTGAAATCGTAAAGATACTCCGTGCGTATGACGATGCTGACAAGATCAAGAACGCCGAGAAGGAGAATCATGTCAATAGCGTGGTGAATTGAGGACATCGTCATGTTCCAATTTGATACTAAATATTAATGAGTCAGAGTGTTGTTCCTAATTATGTATATTCTATCCAGCCATGCTTCTCTTGAGTCGCTTTTTCATATCAATCATCAGCTTTGCTCGCAGGCGTGTGGCCTGTTTTCTCACCTTCTCTTCGTCATACTCTCTGTTGGCTGCAAAGGCCTTTTTCCATGCATCTACCAATGGCGCAGGGGTGTAGTCAGGCTTTTTATCAAGTATAGATTGCAACTCCGCTTTGATTTCTGGTGACACCAATGGTCCAGACTTCTTCTGAAATGAGATTATCTTGTTGCCGTTTTGCTTGGATTGCTGCACCAAACCGGAAAACATCCGAACAATTTCATGAAGGCCAGGATAACAGTAAAAGCCCTGATGCTCTTCCTTCATCAGTGCGAGAGTCTGGGTTGGGCTCTGTTTGTCCCCTTTATTGACAAGACCACGGTTGAATTGAGCAATACCTATTTTTTTGAACTCATCATTCATGTAGTTCCTTCCGTACAGTCCTCCGCTTAGGGGTCGTCTTGCCCAACCTTGATCTCGCATCAAAGTCTCTCTTGGACGCCAATGATTAGCAACTTTGTACTCTTTCATGTTGTCATTAAGTGCCGGTGTGATGGAGCATTCGGGCGAGTTAATGTAGTGTAATGCCAGTCCGATGGCTCGGTCTTCCACCCTTCTGCTCTCGTGCCCCTTGCCCGCCTCTTCGTCCTCTTCAACGGATTTCTTTGTTTTCTGATCTTTCGTCGCTCTTTGCTTGGTGGGTTGAAAAGTTCGAAATGGCTTGTACCTTATAACTTCTACCCGAGTGAAGAATGTTGTCTTTTCGTAGTGTTCCCTTGGTGCTTTATCGAGAAGTTGGCTGGTTGCAGTAATAGTGCCGTTTGCATCACCTGCCATGGCCTTGGAATTAGCTGCTTCTTCATCCACGCCGGCCGAACAGCCAATGTCGCCATCCTCAACGTCACTAAAAAAAGCTGTATCATCTTGTTGGCATTCGTCGACGTATGCCGTAGTGTGCTCTATCTCACCATAAAATGATTCGAAGCAGTCCGACTCGCTCACGTCATCATCATCATCATCCATCAGATTCTCCAACAGTCCGGCACCATGTTGCACATCCTCGTTGTTGTTGGTCTTGTTCTTGCCTGTTATAATTTCCGACACGACTTGGCTCATGATGACTGCTTTTCCAACTTTCGCAGCCTGAACATGAGCATTCAATCGAGCAATAACCGATTGCCCGACTTCAGAAATATCAATATATTCCTTGGCTCTCTGAATTGCATTCAAGCCCATAATGGAAGCCTCCATTCTAACATGCCATTCAGGATCATCGGAAGGAGCAACAACAGGGGTGAAGGTGCCTTTGCCGTTCTGCCAGCCTGAGAAGCCAGCTCTAAAAACCATGCCATCGGATATGCCGGAGTAATTGATGACTTGTATCAAGGGTTGCGCTGCGCTCCAGGTGGATTCATTCTTCAAATCGAGCCTCGACCAATCGGCAAGCTCGTCAAGCTCCGGAAAGAAACGTATTTCATTTGCTCTGGCAAAGTATTCTTTTGCTGCTTCACCTGCGCCAGAGCATAGCTGTGAAATCTTGTCGAGCCGGGGGAAGTCGAGTGCGATCAGCTGAACCGCTGGGATGAAGGCAAGATTGGAGCTCATGAGATGAAACAGACGCAGAGAGAAAAATTGGACAGGCGACAATCCACTGAGACTTACAGGAGTTTTTGATCCCACCATTGGTACATAATGCGTTGGCGAGTTCTGTGGGGGTACAAGCTTCGTTCTTCGTGAGTGTATCATCCTTTCGGGTGCAAATATAATGCCGATCCACATGAGTCCCAGCAACGGCTGCATGGGAATCGCACGAACCCTTCCCATCCTGGGTCTCCGGGTGAATATACTTGACAATCCTTGGGCTGCTTGATAGCTGGTTGATAAAGCAGATGGGGAAAATCAGATCCTTACTGTGATAGCAATTGGCATTGTCGCTAGCCAGTACAATTCTCTTGACAAAGCCGAACTGCACGTTGACCATCTTCATCATCGCTTCTAGCATCGATAAGACACAGGGTCCATCTTGTTTATTCCCAGTGTCGAGGATTTGATCAATTGGGAACATCATGGGAACTGCTCGGGCTTTGCTGCTATTGGCTTGACACGGCGCTTCATAGTCATAATACTCTATAACGCCGATGTGCCAACTGTTGCCTCGCTGTCCAAAGTCATTCATTTGGCTAGAACGCAATCTTTTTTCCACGAATTTTTGCTTGAAGTCCATCGTAATTTTTGCTGTTGTGCCACGTTGTTTGCTTCTCAACACCTCATCCTTGAGTTTAAGATCTACTTCCTGGATTGCTTTCTGTTGATTTACAACTCGTACATGATGCGCTTGATAGCGATGGAAGCAATCCAGTGAGTCTTCAATGTAGTCCAATGCATCGTCAATGCTTCTACTATTTGCTGAGCTTCGATTTGCCTTCACTGCATCTGGAAGTACAATACGCATGAAGTACTCAACAAACTTGCACGCGGGACAATGCTCGACGCCTTGGATTTGAACAGAGGTTGATTCAGTATTGCCTGTATTGCTTTGTGGTTCCAGTCCTAGGCCATAGTGGATGCTGTGGGAACAAATCTGACGACATCGTGAGAGAGGGGATTCTTTTGATGAAGCAACTTCCTGCTTCTACTTTTGTTTACTTACTGCTGACCCTTTCTGAAGGTGCCCATCATATTGGTACTTCAGAAAGTTTTGAAGGATGAGAACATATCGCTTCATCGTCTTATGCTGCGTTGGGGCGATGACTTGCTCAATGATCACAACAAGCCCAGTCACTCGAACATTCACCAAGATATCCTGAACATAGTCAATGCAAGTGATGCTTTTCTCAGCCTTTGACGTCAAATGCTTGACGAGAAGGTAATAGGTAGTGCGTTGAGGTGACTGCTGATTCTTGTCCAGCTCAATTCCTTGAAGCTCTGCCTCCTTTCTCGCGTAATCCATAAACATCCCTTTGACGGGGTGTGTTCTGGTAAGTCTTGGGAACGTGATCGTTGCAGTCTTTCCCTTTTGTCTTAGTTCCTTGGTACCCCAAGAAAGGGCTTGAGAAAATGAAAGGATGTGCTTTACCATCCGTGTGAGAGTCTCCGTGTCGATGCGCGCAACGGAACGACGTTTCTTTTCGGGTTCTTTGCCGCTTTCGATGGCTCCAGTCATGTCTTCATGTCCCCGCTTTCGAGCAATCTTGCAGAACGTTGGAGGAGATAGGTGACTAAAAATGTTGGCAAGCTCAGCATCAGTTGCGTTGTCTACAATGATTGCTCTCGCAATCTGATGGGCCATGGTATGCCGCGGCATCTTCTTGACAAGAACAAAAAGCCCTTTCGCAAATCCCTCCAAGATTTTGACTCTCTTCTTCTGGTCTACCGGTAAGCCTCGCGACTTGCTTAGTTTCAGATAGTGTTGGTCTTGTAGCCATTTCGCATCGCTTGGCAAGAGAATCCTTGCACATTCTTCATAGATATGATCCATAACTAGCACAAGTTCATCACATACACGATCCGAATGCACCATCATCAAAATCTGTTCGAGTCCGTTGCTTTCTTGACGAACCTTGACACTGGGCATATGATGATAAGAAGATCTCTCAAGACCTACAACCTCGAAGAGCCGAGCTTCTTCTACCCCGGTATTATCAGGGACAAGCTCTCCGGTTGCCAAGCGTGTTGCAACTGGAGTTTTCACTTCAGTGGCTTGTTGTATTCGGCTCATCGTCGCTTTGTGATTTGATCTCTTTGACGCTGGAGTCCTGAGAACACACGGGCCAAATCTCTTATTCCGACAGCAGTAAGTGCACTTTTCACAGACTTGACAACAAGCCAGGTTTGGGTGACAGTCGTCATCACAATTTTCCGGATCAAATTTGTTGTAGGTCTTTTTGGTTCCACATTCCTTCCCTTTACAAGGACAGTGCCGTTTGCAATACGTTCCATACAAGCCACAAAACTCAGTCTCCTTAGGGCATTTCGCCCTTCTATTGCATCTTTCTCCACATGGTGGCGGCTGCTTCGGATCGCCATTGTCACTATCATATGCTGCTGACATGATGTTGTCGAGGATTCGATTTGGGAACATTCACATGGCATTCCAAAGATCCGTAAGGTTTCCCTCCGAGGAAACCGTCGTGTTTTTGTCTGTTACTTCGGTTTTCATGTGAGCGTTGAGTGTCGTCAATAAAGATGATTGAAGATTTGGATTGGTGTCACACATGCATTTTTTCCTCCCGACACGAGCGGGCGGACGCGCGTGTCGCATCGATATCGATCTCATCGCAGTCGATCCTCGAAGAATCAAATCGTTGCATCTCGGAGCAATACAATAGCACCACATTCATTTTGCGGTTATCCTCGTGCGGGTGCACCTCACAACCCAACACAATGCTTTCAGGTCCGCAATGATGGCTCTACGAAGATCAGGGAACAATTGGTGAGCGAGGAGAGTAAGCTGAACTCGACAAGGAAGAAGGGCATGGATCGTTGCCTTTTGATGGCTCTGCTTCTGCAT